CGTCAAGACCTGAACAATCAATTTGAGGCTCTTCGTGTTCCTAGAACGAGCAGACGCCATTGGGCTACACTAGCATGAGACAGGGATGAATGGAGACATTACTGGTGCCCGCTCGAGCAAATTGATGCGTAATGGGATGTCAAGTGATCAAGTGATCAGTTTAGTTCTCATCAGCACAGAGAAAGGAAGCAGAAAGTAGTTGCATTAGAAAAGACCTAGACATACAGATCTCTAGGTTCCTAACCCATGGTCTTAGACACAAAAACAAGGAGTGGACTCTGAGGTAAGACCTTTGTAAAATTCAGTAGAGAAACTCTGATGAACTACAACACCAAGGGAACCATGCATGCCCAACAGGGAACTCATCCTTCTCTCTCTGGAGCCTCCCCATGAGCTAGTGAATGCATCATTATCAAGAAACTTGACTAGCAGTAAGACTTAGAAACATTTAAAAAAAATTAATATTATGGGCCATGGCTGGAGTGATAGCACAGCGGGTAGGGCATTTGCCTTGCACATGGCCGACCTGGGTTCTATTCCTCCGTCCCTCTCAGAGAGCCCGGCAAGCTGCGAAGAGTATCCTGCCCGCGCGGCAGAGCCTGACAAGCTCCCAGTGGCGTATTCAATATGCCAAAAACAGTAACAACAAATCTCACAATGGAGATGTTACTAGTGCTCGCTTGAGCAAATCAATGAACAACGGGAGGAGAGCACTATTATGGGCTAGACAGATGGTACAGTGGGTAAGGTGCTTGCCTTTCAGGAGTAAGCCCTAAGCACTACTGGGTGTGGCCCAAAATAAGAAAGAAACAAAAATTCCAATTGTGAATTCCGTCACCTACCACTCTGAATCTTTCCTTTCAAGACTGGACAGTTGTGTGTTACTTCTAGCTTTGTGCTCCTTTAAGAAGTGGATGTGTTGGGGGCTGGAGCGATAGCATAGCGGGAAAGGCATTTGCCTTGCATGCGGCTGACCCAGGTTCGATTCCCAGCATCCTATATGGTCCCCTGAGCACTACCAGGCGTAATTCCTGAGTGCAGAACCAGGAGTAACCCCTTTGCATCGCCAGGTGTGACCCCCAAAAAAAAAAGTGGATGTGTAGTATCCTAGTGTGATGGATCACACAGCTGATTTAATCCTCTAGATGCAGACTTTAATTTCCTAAAATATAGTCCACATTTTACCTTGTGGTAAAATTAGGATTCAAATAAAAAAAAATAATGGCATTAAAGAAAGCATAACTCAGTGTTAAAGAACATGCTTTGCATGTGTGAGGTCTTAGGTTTGATCCTCAATACTACCAAAACAAAAAACAAACAAACAAAACCAGAAAAAAAAAAAAAGCTTTGCTTTTAGGTAAGGTGCTTATCTTGCACACAACCAATCTGGATTCCTTCTGGGTTCAATTCTAGCACTCCATATATTCTCTCCACTGTACTACTACTCCAACTCTGAGGAATTTTTTTTTTCCTTCATATAGAGGGGTCAGAGGATAAATACGCTTAGGAATCTGGATCGACATAGAACATTCCTTTTTGAAGGTGGCATACCCGGTAGTGCTTTGTTCTCAGAAATGGCTCCAGGTGATGGTTGGGGGAACCACACACACACTGCTGAGGATCTAACCAGGGCCAACTGCATTCGAGGTAGTACCTGACCACCTGTACCATCTCTCTGGTCCAGTCTTTTCCTTTTTTTGGTCTCTTTCCATCAGTGCTTTTGGGGTAGGTACTCTTGCTTTGATGCTTGGGGGATCATACAGTGCTGGCTATAGAACCCAGGGTCTCACACATACAAGGCAAGTAGCATCATCCCCAGCCCTAAAATATTCTCTTTGAGTAGAGGGTATTTGGCCTACACACTGAGAGGTGCTTAAGGATTACTCCTGAATCTGTGTTCAGGGGTCACTCTTGAAGGTTCGTGGGGGACCTTATATGGTGACGGGGTCAAGCCAGGGCTGGCTACATGTAAGACAAGTGCCTTAGCCCCTGTACTATCTCTCTGGTCCAGGATACTCTTATTTGGTATGATATGGTAGGTTATTTGTGAAATGGAAGGTTGGGAATGCTCAATTTTTTCCCAATCTAAATTAGTGTTAACAGCATTTCCACACTAAAAATATAACCTATCAAGTCATACCAAGTGGGAATGTTTTACTTTTGGACAATGGGCAAAATTTATAAATCAAGAAGTAGAAAGTCCCAACAAACACTGTGCTAGAACACAAAGACAGGACCCAGCCTTATTTTTAATAGCTTATAAGCTAGTGGGTGAGAAACAATCGCACAATTACCAATAAGCATATATAAAGTGCTTCACAAGAGAGAAATGTGCTACGGACACACAGGAAAGCATTTAATTCAGCATGAAGGGAGCTTGGAATGATATCTGGGGAAGAGAATGCAGAATCCAGAGGGGAAAGTCTAACGGAGCGAGAGAGGCAAGTAATAAAAAGACCTTTCACAGTGAGCTCTGGAATTTGAACTTGATCTTGAAGGCCATGGTGAGCCCACTATAGAATTTTAAATGGGATTTAAATGACATGATTTGATTTGCATTTTAGAAAGAAATGTCTGGTTGTGGTGTGCAGAACAGACGATAAGGGACTTGAAAAAAATGAACCGACCTATGTGGTCAGAAGTGATAAGGTAAGAACCTGAATGATTCAGCACATTAAAGAAAGATTTCCACTTCTGCTATATTTTCCAGCTCTTATTAATGTAAGGATGCTATGAATTTTATCAAACAACAGACTTTCTGACTTCAAATTCTATAAGCATTTTATATCATCAACTAAATGTAATTTTATCTCTGAAAATATAGAGTAAATAAATTTTTAATTATAGTAACCAGAACAGCATTTGTGTTTTTGTTTTTAATTACCCAGGAGTGAAAGAGATAGTCCGGGGGTTAAAGCATTTGCTTTCCATGAAGCTGACTTCAGTTTGAGCCCTGGAAGTGTGTAAGATCCCTGAGCATAGCTGGATATGTAGTACCCTTGCCCCCTGCCCTCTCCAAAGAACCCTCCAAAAAAACAGAAAACAAACAAAAATGGGGGAAAAAATATCCAAACTGTAATTTTAGTTTGCAAACTGAAAAATGGTTCAAAGGGACAGAGATTTGGGAAACGATTCAAACCCCCAAAAGTTATTATTACAACCAGAAGCACCTCCCACAATGCTGAGAGGATCAACTGAGCCCTGTTGGGGCAGCTGGGTTGGGACGGCTATTGGCACACAACAGGGAGAACCACTTCCGACACTGGGGCTACAATCCATGCGGATGGCTCACACAGTGAAATGTAAGGAAAAAAGAAAGAAAATGGAGTAGAATATTTATTCCAGCTGTGCAAGGGAGATAAATTTTTAGCTATTGTGCAATAAAGAATATCATGAGAGACCATCTGAATAAATATGGATATCTAAAACTAGTTTTGCCCGATGAGATATAAGAAAAGGAAGGGAAATTAAGAGGAAAAAAAGTAATTCCCATAAGCTTAATGGCATATGTGTGAATGCATGGGTTTGCATAAAATAGGAAATATAAAAAAACAAAACAAAAACTGAAATATTGAAGGTTGGTAACTGTGTTTCACTGAATAAATGGTCAAATGGCCAAAAGAGATGATCAGCTAATACATAAAAGGAAACAAATAGTAAAGTATCATTTGGAGATGCAGAGCCTCCACAAAAGAAAAGAAATATGGAAAAGCTGCATATCAGTTAACATTACATGTTTGTTAAATTAAGAAACTGACAAATACAGCCAGAAAACAATGCAGAGAACTGTGTACTTATGTACTGATGTTAGCACCGTGAGCTAGCCCTGGCATAGTGGAAAAAGCACATGAACACACATAATAATGGTGAAATACTGAATGCATGTACTTATGTAAATTCACTGGCTCCAGCCACTTGGAAGAACTCTCTTTCCTAAAGGGGAGGCGGTTGGAGGGGTGGGGAGAGAGGCCCAGAATATGCCTGCAATGAGGGAACCCCGCGCTCAGTCCTGGGCACCGCATGGTCTCCCAGCACCACTGGGAATGAACCGAGATCCTACACAAAGGGACCACTACACACACAGGGGGTAGACACCAACCACCACTGGATGTGGCCCACAAACAAAAGGAAGGCCTGGAACAAATGGGGAAAGAGCCCTTTATTTAAAGATTCTCAGAGGCAGAGCAGGGCAACTTAAAAATAACACCCAAACCTAAAAAGCAAAAAAAGGTTAATAAACTCCAGAGTTTTTTTTTTTAATCTGATTTTGTGGGGTTCTCACCGAGCCAAGCTGAAGTGATGGGCAAGAAGAACACTGGGGTGTGAGCCCAGGGCCTCTCACGTGCAAGGCCTATGATCTACGACTGAGTCACACGCCAGTCCTATTACAGAGCTTTTAGAAAGGACACAAATGGGAGTATAAATAATTAGAAGTGCAAAGGAAAGAACCAATCTACTCCAATGCTAATTTGAAGCCAAATCCAGAGGCATACACGAGTGACCCCATATACAGAGCCAGGGATGCACACTGGAGTCAGCTGTTTGCAAGGCAAACACCTTAGCTCGTGTACTATCTCAACAGCCCAAATATCCTTTATTTGTATGTGCATTAACCTGCAGTGGACCAGACAAACAGCACAGTGGGTAAGGTGCTTGCCTTGCCTGTGGCTGACCCAAGTTTGATTCCCAGCACTGCATATGGTCCCCCAAGTGCTGCGGGAGATAGCCGGGAGCACAGATCCAGGAGTAAGTTCTGGGCACGGCTGGGGGTGGCCCTCAAACAAAAAAAACAACAAAAAGCATGTAGAAGATGATTGTTTTTCTATATATTTATCTTATTTTGGCACATCAGTGGGCTTGGGAGCTATCTACAACTCAGCCTACTATTATTCAAGTAAACCCCACACATAATTACCTTTCTTAAACATAACATGCCCCAGTACGCACCTGCTGTTCTGCAGAAACACACACCCTGTGACCGTAGAACAGTGGGGGCTTACCGTGAGTGTGGCCAACGACATGAAGCCAATCAGATTATTCCATACTTTATCGATGTCCTTCAGCAGCTGCTGGAGTTTCTCACTGCACACAGCAGTGGCTTTTATTCCCAGCTCCACACGTTTAGTCACTCGATACACCTCCACGACACCTGACAGAGTGAGAGAAAAGAGTTCAGTGATAGTAGTGAAGAGCAAAAAATGAGCCAGAGATCATCATCATCATCATCATCATCATCATCATCATTATTATTATTATTTTGGCTTGAGGCCACACCTGGGGTGCTGAGGGGGTGTTTATAACTTCTGGCAGCCCTTGGGGGACCACATGGTGCTAGGATTAAATCCAGACCTCCCACATATAAAACATGCTTTGATACACTCAGTCTATTATCTGTCTGGCCCAAGAAAAGAAATTTTTTTTGGCTGGGGGGCCAGGGTGGTCACACTCGGAGATACTCAGGGGTTATTCTGGCTCCACACTTAGGAATTACTCCTGGTGGTGCTCAGGGATGGAATATCCTGAACGCCGAATATGGGATGCTGGTTTCAAACTCGGGTTAGCTGTGTGCAAGGCAAGTGTGAAAGTGTGGGACCAGCTGTACTATCTCTCCAGTCCCAAGAAAAGAGATAATTGATTGCTGATATCCTAGTTGGAATTACAGACTTCATCTGGGAAGAGGGGAGTTTCTTATTCCTTGGGATCAATTTGCCTCTCGACATAACTGCAGTATAACTCACGGACTTTAGGAGCTGGGGAAACAGCTCAATTATAAAGTACACGTCTATCATGTGTGAGGCTCTGAGTGCATCCCCAACACTGCATGGTACCACCTGCCTCAGCACAACTGGATATGGCCCCTACTTTTAAAAATGAGGAAGAATGAAGGCTGTAGTGCTGTTTGGGTTCTGCTTTGGGGCTGTGTAACCATGAGCAAATCATGTAACCTTTCTTGGTCTCAGTTTTCTAATCTGTAACATCAAGATCTCTTCAAATGATGGTTGAGACGATCAAATGTGTAACTCTCATAAAAGGTGGGAATAAAGCCTGCAAAACAGTAGGTCTCATGGAAGTATTAGTGTGAATCTTAATTTTGTTTTCCTGGTTTCTTTCCGAGTCCATCTGTTTGAATTTGGGAAGTTCTATTACACTGGCTGAAAATGGAATACTAAAAGTTTAAAAAATATTTGAACATAATCATCATAAAGTAATTAAGAAACATCTCATTCTTCAAAGACTTCTTATACCTTTACACTTAACAGGACACAGTTTCTTTTCCTACACACTCTGAATTGTGGCATAAAACAAAGGTGATCGGTGACAAGTATTTTCATGTTCAAAGGATATCCCTGGTCTCTGTAAAGGAGGACTGGAAGAATTCCAGGCCACCATCAGCCTGATGTAGGACACTAACATTTTCCTCTCCTCTTCTCATGGGAAAGGCAGAAGCTCCTGCCCACTCTAAGACAGGGTGGGGGCTTCTATGGCAATCTTTCACTGATACTAGGAAACCCTATTGTAAAGGAGAGACAGGCACCCCCTTATCTGGTGACCTAATGTGTACATAATAGAGTTGTGCCTGTGTAAGCAAGGAGGAGCAAGAGTGAAGTGGCAGGAATAAGAGACTATATCCCTTCATTAGCCATTCATCCAGTCAATATTTCTGCGTGACTACTCTGTGTCAGGTACTACTGTAGGTGTTGAGATAGCAGGGAATGAAAAACCCCAAATCGTTTCCCCTTCTTGGAGACTCATTCTTGTGGGGGGAGAAAGAAAATAAACCATAAAAAGTAAAATATGAGAGTATCATGCTATGTGAAATGAGTCAGAAATAGAGGGACTGATATCGAAGGACTGCACTCATTTGTGGAGTATAAAATAACATAACACAAGACCGACATCCAAGGACAGTTGATATAAGGGTCAGGAAGACTGCTCCATAGTTGGAAGACTATCTCATGAGTGAGCAGGGAGAGGACAGCTGGAATAGAGAAGGGATCACTAAGAAAATGATGCCTGGAGGAATTGGTAGGGATGGGAGAGGTGTGCCGAAAGTAGATAAAGGACCAAATATGATAACCTCTCAGGGTCTGTACTACAAACCATAATGCCCAAAAGTAGAGAGAGATTATGGGGAATCATGTCTGTCATGGAAGCAGAGGGAGGGTGGGATAAGGGGGGTATACTGGGGATATTGGTGATGGGGAATATGCACTGGTGGAGGGATGGGTGTTTGATCACTGTGTGATTGTAACTCAAACATGAAATGTTGTGACTACATCTCATGGTGAATCAATACAATTTTTTTTTAAAAAGTAAAATATACACAAGACTAAAGGTGATATACTAGGAAAACAACCAAGCAGAGGAAAAGGCAGAACATACAAAGATGGGGATAGGGGATTTTTTGAGAAAGAAGACATCTTTTAGAGAATGCTGACCTGGGTTCAATCCCTGGTACCCCATATGGTCCCATGAGCCCCGCCAGGAATGATCCCTGAGTGCAGAGCCAGCAGTAAACCCTGAGCACCACTGGGTGTGGCCAAAAAACAAAAACAAAATAAGTGAAAGAACAAGAAAGAAAGAAAATGACCTCTGAGAGCCAGAGAGGAAGTATCTCTGGGGTTAAGAGTTTACCTTAACCTTGCCTTGCATGTGGCCAACCAGGCTTTGATACCCGGCACTAGTATGCTCCCCTGACCACCACCTGTAGTGATCCCTAAGCACAGAGCCAGGAATAAGAGCTGAGTTCTGGAGTGTATGGCTCTCTGGCCTCAACTTCCCCCAATGACATTTGAGTGAAGATATTTAAAAAAACAAAAAGAATCTAGGTCACATGAGACTAGCACAGAGAGAAACAGTGAAATGGACAGAGACTGAGATTTCAGGCTGATTAGGGACTGGGAGGTTTAATAGATGAAGATGGCAGAAAGGAAAGGAATTTTTGATGCCATGAAATGATAGAGAGGAAGAAATGGTACTGGAGACACAATGATTTCATTTTAATACCTCCCCCAGTGTAGACTGATAAACTAGTGACATGGATGTAATTTCACATTGTTGCTACTGCATGGAGTTGGCCAGAGACTGTAAATCAAATAGCTGTAACTGTCTATGACTTACACATCTTATCTACAAATGCAGATGCTACTTAGTGAAATCTTACATAGCTTGAGAGATTTAGATGAAATTACTTAACACAAAGAAAAATAAGAATATTGAAATATTATTTTTTTATGATTCTGATTTTAGATAAACGAAATATAAAATAACATACCTAATAAATATTCCATGCCTTGAGCTGACTGGATTACTTCTGTGCAAACAGAACTACTACTGATTCCATTTAAGGTATCATTTGCCTTCTTAATGACCTACAACAAATGAAATCACAGCACCTTTTATAATCAAGGGAAGTCACTGCAAATTAATTTACTATTAAAAGTCAGGAGGTGTAAAAAAGCATGGCTGAGTGAGATAAGATTATGAAGATAATGAAACAAATCTGAGAATTTTAATCTTGAAGAAACAATCCTCTATTTCTTTGGAAAATAAAAGACAGGCTCTTTAGCTTAAAAGTCATTTTAATTTTGGTAGAGTTAACAGTATAAACATAGTGATGGTCAAGGGTGTAGTGGACAGTGAGCCTGCATTTGCTGAGGTCAAAGCTGTCTCACTTAGGATGCATGATTTTGCAGAGAAGTTGGTTTCCAAATGCTACAGAGCTTTCACGGCAGAGTCTGGCAAGCTACCCGTGGCATATTCAATATGCTAAAAATGGTAACAATAACAGGTCTCATTCCCCTGACCCTGAAAGAGCCTCCAATATGGCAGCATTGGGAAAGACGAGTAAGGAGAGTCTACTAAAATCTCAGGGCTGGGATGAATGGAGACTTTACTGGAGCCTGCTCAAGTAAATCGATGAACAACAGGATGACAGTGATACAGTGATACTGAGGTATTGAGGTAGAGCTCTCTGCGAATTTGCATCTGTCTGTTCACAAAGACCAAGAATGCAAAATAAAATGAAAGCACCTAAATATGTGTGAACACCACAAAAGTGACATACTTACATCTAGAGCACTTCCCAGGCATCTCTGCCACTCATAGGCATACCTCTCATTCTCCTGTGAATTTGTAACAAGAAGTGGGTTAAACAGGCCTGGGATCCTCCATAACTTCTGTCGACTCAGAGAGTATGGTTAAGACTTTCATTTTTATTAAAGTAACTCTAGCAGTTTTTCTTCTGAATTCACTAAAATATTTTTTTCCAGTAACAATAAAACCTTCTTCAAACTTTATGTACCCCACATAGGTGTCTGATTGAAGAGTCAGTATCAAGCCATGTGTGTGTCTATGTGTACACATACACAGGAAAATAAAGGAAAGGGAAAATCGAGTTGGCTGCAGGCCCAGAGCAACAGTACAGCCAGCACGGCATTTGCCTTGCATGCGGCCAACCTGGGTTCAACCAGGCATCTATTTGGTCCCTCAAGCCCCACTAGGAGTGATTCCTGAGCACAGAGCCAGGAATACTGTCTGAGTGTCACTGGGCATGGCCCCCAAATAAACAAGCAAACAAAAAACACTTCTTGGCTATAAAGCTTGTACTGAGGGTAAGATGCCTGCCTTGCACAGCTAACGTGGGTTCGATTCTTGGGATACCATACGGTCTCCTGAGACCGTCAGGGGCGATTCCTGAGGGCAAAGCCAGGAGTATCTAAGCATAGTCAGGTGTGGCCCGAAAACCAAAAATCAAACCAACCAAACAAAACCAAAAAAACAAGAGTGTTGCCTGTAGGAGGCCAGAGAAATAGTACAGTGGGTAGGGTGCTTGCCCTTCGTGTGACAGAACAGGGTTTATTCTGTGGCAGCACATGTGGTCCTGAGGCTATGAAGAGTGATTCCTGAGTGCAGAGCCAGGAATAAGCCCTAAGGATGTGGCCTGAAAACTTGAAAAAAAAAATTTTTTTTTTAAAGTATTGGCTGTAGGAGGAAGGAATGACAGGAGATAAAAAAAAAATCCTCTCTCCTCTCTTTTGATGCATTATCATTTGTTAAGATGTTGAAAGTAAAAGTCTATGTGCTCAAAAGTAATTTCCCCCAAACACTTCTCTCTGTGAAGCTCAGAGTGGTTCTGGTTTTAGGTCACAGATTACTTTCTGCGATGCCACATGAGGGAACTATTTTCATCTAGGGCTAATGTTACCATTCTCTCACTTTAACGACATATGTTAAGTCTGGTGCACTGTGACTTTCCTCCCTATAAAGCCGAAAGCATTTTCCCCTGGGTCTTCAGTGCTTCACTGGTCTTACTGGTCTTTTGCTGGTCTTTCCTCCACTCACCTCAACCTCTCCGGTCAGATCTTTGTACTTGTCACGGATGACAGGCAGAGCGGGTTTTTCACTCAGAGTGTTGGAGCGGTCTCTGAAAGGTTGCTCCAGGGCTGGAGACGGAGAAGAACGGCTTATTTCTTTATCACCAAGGCTCAAACTCCTCTTGTGTGACCCTGGGAGAAGTGGGAAGCACAATCAAAGGTTTTCATCAGTTCAAGCTGAGTCTCTCAGAGGATAACCCTCCGCTTTTCTGTAGATGTTTATGTCATGAGACATTCACAGACACAGTCCCTGTTCATTCTGTCAGGCAAGCACTGGATGGAATCCTCTCCACTGCTCCTTCCTGTTTGGTTTCCCTGTCTTTTGTTTCCTCCATGGCCTTCTCTGACAGTTTTTCCGTAATTCTAAGTCTGGAATGACTGGAGTCTAGAGGACAAAAGTTTTCCTCAGTATTAATACACAGGCATTGTACTGTTTTTCTAAGCATTCGGTACAGATTTATACTGGACACGACATACACTTTCAACTTCAATGGATTGATTTCAAATAGAAGTGAGAGAGCAGCTGAGTCAAGTAAGTGACGGAAGAGGTCAGTGGATAGGAAGTGAGGAAGCTGACATGCAGGAGACCACATCCCATCTTTTTTGGGTGTGTTTTGGGGCCACATCTGGGGTGCTTGCTTGGCAACAACTCCATGCACGGTGTTAAGAAATCACTCCCAGCAGTGCCTGGGAGACTCTGAGGTGCCAGGGACTGAGCCCAGAGTTCCCACATGCAAAGACAGTACTGCCCTTCTCTGAGCTGACCCCACACCTCACTATTAGAGGGACAGTGCTACTTAGCTTCAACGTCAGGGATTGTCAAGAAAAAAGGAAATCCATAGTGTGACAGCTCATGACGTTTTGAATATTGGCAACTGCTTCACACATGAAAGAAACATCCTATGTGGGACTATCAAAATGGGCCCACCCAACAACAACAACAATAATAACCACACTACTACTACTAATACTATTGCTGCCGTCACCACTGAACCCAGGTCCACAGCTGCCAAGTTGCTGCCTCTGGATTAACAAACTTTTGGGGCTTGGGAGACAGAGTGCAAAGGGCTCATGCATGTGCTTTGTAGGTGGGAGGTCTCGGGTCCATCTCCAATACCATATGGTTCCCTGAGCCCTGCCAGAAATGATCCCTGAGCACCGGTAGTAGCTCCTGCACATCACTTCGTACGGTTCAAAAATAAAAATGAAACAACACAACAAGCTTAGACAGAGATTAAGAATACAGATAACCATTTCTCTGGCTCTTAACACAATGCAGCTCTAAGTGAATGAATAAATGAACATAACGAAACTTGGGCCCTGCTTGCTTTTAGCCCCAAAAGCAATTATCTGGGGATGTTGGTTTAGTTTCAGGGGAATCTTGTTTATAGCTACCTGTTATAAAACTTAACTCAAGGATGGAAAACCTGTTTTCTGTCAAACCAGGGATTAATTTTCAATTCTTTTGGGTCACACTTAGTGGTGCTAAGAGGTCACCCTTGGCAGTGCTCAGTTAGGGGACCATATGTAGTACTGGTGGATCAAACCAGGGTTAGCTGCATACAAGGCAAGTACCTTAACCCCTATACTATCTCTGCAGCCCCAATGATTTGTTCCCAAGAAAGAAAACCGATGATGAGAGAAATAGTTCAATGGGTTGAGCACATGTTTTGGATGTTACAGGCCCAGGTTCGATCCTTGGCACCACTGGTCCCCCTATGAATGATCCTGGAGCACAAGGCCAGGAGTAGCTCAAAGTATTCCTGGGTATGACCCAAATACAAAAAAGAAAAGAAAAGAAAAGAAAAATCCAAAAAGCAAAAAGAACAGGTCCTGGGGATAGTTTAAAGGTCTGGAACAAGTGCATGTTTAAGGTCCAGAATCAAATCCCAAACTATGTGCTTCCTCCCTCGTCCTGCAGAACTGGGGTAGCGATCAAAAAACCCTCAGGGTTCCCTGTGTCAGGAGAAACCTTCTCTCTTAGCCTCACCACTTGAAATCCTACTTTACTCTGGATTTCCTCAAGGTCTCCTTCCAACCTTGTTTTGACTTGGGTAGTAGCTGCTTCTCAAGGTCTGCTCTATGATAAATGGGTAAATTATACCTGGGGCCAGGCCATAACTGGATGCTGTAACCAGAAAGAAAGCCCTAATGTTAGGACAGCAGCTGTGACCAGTCCCAACAACTGTCCTGGTGTAAGGACAAATGCTCAATCCCCACACCAACATCCCTCATTTTAGGCACAGCGGCCTCTCTCCTTCTGATGTCCCCCCATAGGGTGCTGAGCTTCAGTTAAACTTTTGCTATGCGCCATGACAACTGTGAGTTGGGAGTACCCACTCTTGGACACCACTGGAACAAGAATATGAGAACTTAACTCCACCACAGAGACTTGCTACTGCATTAGACCACTAGACCTGGACAATGACCCATCAAGGAGCACACTCCAGCTGAGTAGCACTGGGGTAGCCGCTTCTTGGCCCTCTGAGCACTGCTGAGGGGCTCCCCACTACCCAGAAAAGAAAGGAGAGGGGAAAGGAGATGGAAGAAAGGAATACAGGGAGAAAGGGATGGAGGGAGGAAGGGAGGGCACTTGGGAGGGAAGTAGGGGAGGAAGGGAAGGGAGGAAGAAATGTGGGCAGGGAGGGATATTTAATTGGTAGAAGAAACCAAAATCTACTCACCTTGAACAGAAAGGTCAAAAGTTGCCAGCTCACTTCTGATCATTTCCTCACTAGATTTCATTTTGCTTTGTGGATTTGCCACTAAAAAGTCAAATTTGCTGATTTTGGGTTTTTCGCTTTGAAACTCTCCAAAGTCATCTGAGCATTCCTTGGGGGTGTCATGAGAAGCGTTGCTGGAAGCTGGGCTTGGACATGTGATCTCCTGCTTTCGTTCAGTGGTAGGCAGGTCCTGTCTTGTGAAATCTTGATAGTCGCCACTTTCAAATTCCTTTTGCTCAGCAGTCTGAGGAATCACGTCTTTAAACCTGGCGAAATCTGGAAAGGCGGCATCTGGAAGTGTATCTTCACCTGCAAAGGTTTTCACTTTGGAGAGAGATGCCATGGTGATGCTTTCTGAACTGCCAAAGGAAGGCTCTTTGTTTTGAAGAACTGAGGCAGCTGAGGGTCCACTTCCTGCTGAGAGGACAAATGGAGAGAGTTTTCTGCCCTGAGATGCATCATCCCTGTCTGACCAGTCATAGCTTGTAAGAGTGCTCACTGCAAAATTGCTACTGTAGGCTCCAAAAGCAGCATATTTTAAGTCCTCTATATCTGAAAGGGAAATAAGACCCTACAATTAGAGGCAAGTGCATGATTTAGGCAAAATGTCCTAAACTCTTCAAAATCAAAACGTCTAGCATATTTGATTAGTTTTATGCTATGTTGGAGTTCACTAAATTAGAGCGTGTACTAAAATGAAAGGAATTGGGCTGTAAAATCTGATATTTAAAACCTACACAACCCTCAAATGGCCATTTATATTGATTCACAAAGAACCATTTTCTTTGGACATGAAAATTACTTAAAAAAGATGAAAAGTTCATCTACCAATGTGTCTATACTCTCGGATTTAAGATTAGGGTCATTTAATAAATCGTTCATTTAATAAATTGTTCACTTACAAACCTTTAAACGTACTCACAATATTTCCTGCTAAAATGCATGTCTCTTGTATCTTGACTTTAATGGAAAATGTTCATTTAAAATACATTTATATGCATTTTAAATGTTTATTTTAAAATAGAGAGTACAAAGAGTTGAGTGCATGCTTTGCCTGTGGGAGGCCTGGTTCAATTCTCAGTACCGCACAGTCCCGAGCACCACCAGGAGTGATTCCTGAGCCACTGGGCTGGGAGTAGCCCCTGAATACTGCTAGGTCTGGGCACTGTACCCCCTCAAAGAAGATAGAACACTGTCACATAAATTGTATATGAAAGCTAGTAAAAAGCTAAAAAATTCTCAAGCCTAAAATCAAAATGTTTTAAGTCTTCTATATCTGAGTATAATTTTGGGGAGAGGGCCCCGCCCTCTCCCAGTGGTGCTGGGGTACAGATGTGGGATCGAACACAGGACTTCACTCATACGAAGCATGTGCTCTACCTCCTGTGCCCCATTCCTGGGCCTTGTGACTTAATTTTAAATCAATTATCAGTTTCCATCCCAGGCAAGGACAAATTTGAGATTTTAATGAAATCATTACTTACCTAGTCGTTATTTTTTGGTCATTATGGACGTCATACTGCTGTGATGGAGTATGAGGGGAAAAAAAAATCAATCTAATCTACGTTAGCCCCTAAAAAAATAGAATCAAAGGGCTGAGTCCTGTTGAGTTCTTATTTCTCCTTCAACTAGTTGTCAGCCCCTCATTTAAAGAACAAAAAAAGGAAAGAAGGGGGAAAAAGAAGAAAGTGCTGGGGCAGCGAGCTCATTTTACAAAGCAGTTCTCAGTTTAAATAATTTAGGGATAGCTTACGAGAGTAGAAGATTTTTCTTTTTTATTGCGACAGACCTGAGGTCGATGCCCAATATTGTCATCTACCTCCTACTTGTGTCACACTAAGCAAGTTAACAGTTCTTCAGTTTGTGTACCTGTGACATAAGCAGCCCAGTCTTTGGAAAATCCGTGGTGGGCAATGAACCGATTCTGGGCACACAGGGTCTGGCTCAGCCTGGTGATCGATCCACATCAGTGGTTATTTGTATGGGAGAGGGGCCACCTGCCTTAATGTAGCTGCTGTTTTAGGGCCTCACATGGAATTATTTCACGGACTAAGTGAAAAGGCAACTCATTTTTTTTTTTTTTTTGCTTTTTGGGTTACACCCGGTGATGCACAGGGATTACTCCTGGCTCATGCACTCAGGAATTACTCCTGGTGGTGCTCAGGGGACGATATGGGATGCTGGGAATCGAACCTGGTTTGGCCGCGTGCAAGGCAAATGCTCTGCCCGCTGTGCTATGGCTCCAGCCCCGGCAACTCATCCTTGTAGTGACTACTAGGGGGAAAGTGTCTTTCTTGTCCGTTTCCCAAGGCAGGTGGCTGAGCTGAACAGTGCTGGTATGAGAGGGGCCTTTCCACTCGGGCTGCTCTGTGCTCTCACCTGCTTGCGTCATTGCCCAGGAGACAAGGCTGCTGACTGTGAGGCTCCCTGTTCGATAATCACAAACCTGGTTTATATGAAAAATGCTCAGAATCTGTCACTCAGATGTCTGGAGCAAAGTGCAGAGGCGAGCCTACTTCGGGTCATTTTTCTCTTTCACTTGCAGAAGTCCCCCCCACCCCCCCCGAGCTAAAGCAACTCAGGGGCTCCTGACGTGCCACAGATCCTCTCACAGTATACTCCAGCCCTCACCTCTTAGAGCCTATTAGGAGAAGGGGAAAACCTTCAATGGACAAGAAAGGCCAGTCAGCAAAGAGTGGGCATCACTTGTAGAACAAGAGTATACTTCAAAATTCTAACATACAAACGATACTCCTCAAACCCGAGTTATTAAATTGAAGGGGGGGAGGCGTGGGGAAGAAACTTCAGTGGAATGGGCACTTGCCCTGCACGTGTCAACCAGGACTGATCATGGGCATCCCATACAATCCCTCGAGCCCACCAGGAGTGACCCCTGAGGGCAAGAGCCAGGGGTAACCCCTGAGCAGCACTGAGCTCAAATATAAATAGATAAAATAGACAAATAAACAAGGGGGAGGGGGAATAAAAAAAAACACAGTTTGGAATGAATGAACCTAGCAGTTAGGCAAAATTCTTCCTTTTCTTAGTCTCTGGCTACAGTGTTTTGCTTCCCCAGTGTTTAAAGGGACCAGAAGGTGACCTGACTGAAATGAGGTGAAATTCAAGCAGGAGACAGATGCAGTTACACACAGACTAATCTCCCAGGTAGAGTTAAAAGAGTGTTTCACAACACAGACCTTCTATTCTTACTGTTTAGGAAGTTTGTTAAGAAAGCTGTATTATGAACAAGTCCTTAAACCCTTAAACCCAGGTCATTTATCAGGTAGTTTTCTAAGAGACCAGAGGTAAATTTAATGAGAAGTTAAGCTCTACTTCCAATATTACAACCAAGTTGCTATGTAACAAGAAAGGAAGTTAGGAGGCTTTTGTTCGTTTTTTCAATAATCAAATAAAACACTTAGAACAGACTGTAATATAGTCAGGCAAAAGGCATAAACAATAGGAATTACTTTAGGTGAAGTGCTTTCAAAGGATTTATATAATACTACAAATCTCAAAAAAAATCCTTATTAAAAATTGTTTAAATATAACATTTTGCCTCTTGGAGCAACTCAAAGAAATGACGAAAAGAAAACCAAATTAAATATCAAATATTAAAGTGAAATGTTTTATGTGTGAAGCGATAGCACAGAGGGTAGGGAGTTTGCCTTGCAAGCAGCCAACATGACCGACCCGAGTTCGATTCCTCCGCCCCTCTCGGAGAGCCCGGCAAGCTACCAAGAGTATCTCGCCCACATGGCAGAGCCTGGCAAGCTACCCGTGATGTATTCAATATGCCAAACACAGTAACAACAAGTCTCAGAATGGAGATGTTATTGGGCCTGCTCGATGAACAATGAGAGGACAGTGACAGTGATAGTTTTATGTGTGAAAGTAACAAAGATTAAGTATGTCATAATACTAAAATTAAGCCTCAAGGTTGTTTTTAAAACTTCACTTTTGCTTATATTTTGGCTACTCTGGACTAAAAAAGTAAACTGCTGAAATGCAAAGCACTTAAAAATGTAGGGTCTGATAGCACAGTGGGTAGGGTGCTTGCCTTGCTTGTAGCTGACCTGGGTTTGATCCCTAGCATCCCATATGGTCACCAGGAGAGATTCCTAAGTGCAGAGCCAGAAGTGACCCCTGAGTGGGATGTGTGTGCACCACCCACCCCAAAATAAAACATTTAAAAATATAAGTTAAAAAAAATAGAGAGAAATCATAGGGGCCAGAGAAATAGTACAGGGATTAAGGCACCTGCCTTGTATATGGCAGACCCTGGTTCAATCCCTGGCACTGCACTTCTTGGAGTCACTGCTGAGCACAGACCCAGGAGTAATCACTGAGCACTCCTGGGTATGTTCCCCAAACTAAAAAACAAGAACAGAAACAGAAAACACACACACAAAGATATATAAGGAATTAAAGAACTCAGTATTCCAAAGATACCAACGTATCTCCTGCTTTCGGAGATCAGTCATAGTCATATTTCCGATTAATTAGAAAACCTGGTTCGATTGTAAGTCTCAAATACCTTGATAGGTGCTGTTGAAGACAGGACTAAAGGTCATCGCTAGTGTTAAGTATGACAGATACAAGATGCTGCTGTAGAATGATATTTCAGTGCTTTGGAATCTGCACAGAAACCTCACCTTCTTCTGATGAAATGACTATATAAAACTCTATGGTTTAAATCTCTAAGTTTTCAACTGCTGCACTGCAGGCTAGTGGTGGGTATATAGGCGCAAAGGTTGAAAAAATTGGTTTATATGATATTGGTGGTCTTTGGAAACATCCTTAGGTTTCTGGGTGAGTAATTTAATATCAATGAAATTAAATTTTATTATTTTTATTATATTTTTAAAATTCAATAAAGAATAGCAGCAATTCTGTGGGCGTTTCAAGTCAGAGGGAACTGGTAGGCCACGGAATGGCGTCTCAGGTATTACAGTGAGACCTGAGAGGTGACTGCTCAGTGGACTGACAAGCTTGCAGTGCAGGACGCCCAGATTTGATCCATGCACAATCACTGTATGATCCCTTGAGCAGAGAGCCAGGGACAGCCCCAGAGCTCTGCTGGCTGTGACCCCAAGCCCAAACAAGCCAAAATCTACCAAATGAGTACAAAAGATGATAATTATAACGGGAGCACTTCATTCATGCTAAGGAGAGGTTTAGTATCCAGCACCTCCAAGAGCATGATCCTTTCATGTTCTCAAAAATACTGGGCACATATTTCCCCAACTTTGATAATAAAAGAGCTAGAAGCAGTTCTTCAAAAAAGAAAAAGATTCTTCCAGCTTTTAGGATTTAGCTACGCTTCTTTGATATGGACAATGTTCTGTTCATATTCAACTGCTACTTTTAAAAATCATCAGGTAGGCTTGCTCTTGTCCTCCCTTGAACACGTATCTTGCCTGCTTGTTGCTATATTTCGTTGCTTGCATATTTCTATTCTGGAGAAGCCTGTGCTTCCTCCTGAACATACACTTCTCCCTTCCTCTACCCTCATAGCTTTCTAAGTAATCATATACTTTCTAAATAAGTTT